ATGTGTGTGGAGGGGGATTGGGGGAGGTGGGATTGGGGAGCGGGATTGGGGGAAGGAGGGATGTTGAGGGAGGGGTACTTACCTAGTCACCTAGTTGTGCAGGCGAGGAGTCACAATAACGTGGCTAAAGTATGTTGACCAGACCACACACTAGAAGGTGAAGGGACGACGACGTTTCGGTCCGTCCTGGACCATTCTCAAGTCGAAACGTCGTCGTCGTCCCTTCACCTTCTAGTGTGTGGTCTGGTCAACACCTAGACCACACTTGTGGAGGGGTTGAGCTTCGGCTCTTTAATCCCACCTCTTATCTGTCAATCTACTAGTGTACAGGGGTATTGTGGGAGTGTGGGGGAAGAGACTATCAACGATATCTCCTCCCCCCCCACTCCAGGTTTAGTGAGGCCTGGTCGAGGACCGGGCCGCGGGGATGCTAAGCCCCCGAAATCATCTCAAGATAACCTCAAGATAAGGACTTGATAACTAGAGCAAGTGTGGGTTTACCAAGACGTGAGCTGCTTACTCCTTGGGTCTTCTCCTCATTCCCCACTCTCTTGTGTGTGTGTGTGTGTATGTGTGTGTGTGTGTGTGTGTGTGTGTGTGTGTGTGTGTGTGTGTGTGTGTGTGTGTGTGTGTGTGTGTGTGTGAGGTAAGGGGGCTGTTTAACATCACCGACCAACCCCTGCTTGGGGCAGACATATGCAATTACAGGCCATTCCCTGGTGGGTATAGAGAGGGGAGGGGGAAGGGGGGATGATGGTCAGTCAGCCCATCATTGTGAGAGGCTGAGGGGATAGGGGATAGGAGGATGGGAAGACCTAGTTAACGAACCTGATGGAAGGCTTGACTACAACACTGAAAAGCTGCAACACACAACTTGCAATAACCTCAAACAAAAATTAGTCAGTGTTCTATTTTCCAAAGCAAATCTAAACCAGTGTTTTTATTTTCCAATGCAAATATTAAAGTGTTTTATTGGATCTATTTATACACATTTCTGCCTAAATAAGTTTTAAATAGATCCAAACATTCCTAATGTGACTAAGATAATTTGTTACATACAGAAATCACAATTACATGATGCATCAAATGAACGAATCAAATAGTTTCAACTCCTTTTTGACCATGTCGTAGCTCAAGCGATTAAGGCAGCGTCTGGGATGCTCTCGGACGCAGGTTCGAATCCTCGTCACGGCCCTTGGGGATTTGTTCATAAGATAATCTGTGTTCTTGAGCCAAAAGGTAAATATATATTAAGCTACATATGTATTCCATCGACAGTCTCCAGGGGAGTGTCCTGAGTAGACGACGAGAGTGAAGGCACTATGGTATTATAGACCCTCCCTTAAACATGGCATTATAGACCCTCCCTTAAACATGGCATTAGAGACCCCCCTAAACATGGTATTATAGACCCTCCCTTAAACATGGCATTAGAGACCCCCCTAAACATGGTATTATAGACCCTCCCTTAAACATGGCATTAGAGACCCCCCTAAACATGGTATTATAGAGACTCCCTTAAATATGGTATTATAGACCTCCCTAAACATGGTATTATAGAGACCCCCCTAAACATGGTATTATAGAGACTCCCTTAAATATGGTATTATAGACCCTCCCTTAAACATGGTATTATAGAGACCCCCCTAAACATGGTATTATAGAGACTCCCTTAAACATGGTATTATAGAGACCCCCCTAAACATGGTATTATCGAGACCCCCCTAAACATGGTATTATAGAGACCCCCTAAACATGGTATTATAGAGACCCCCCTAAACATGGTATTATAGAGACCCCCCAAACATGGCATTGTAGAGACCCCTTAAACATGGTATTATAGAGACCCCCCTAAACATGGTATTATAGAGACCCCCTAAACATGGTATTATAGAGACCCCCCTAAACATGGTATTATAGAGACCCCCTAAACATGGTATTATAGAGACCCCCCTAAACATGGTATTATAGAGACCCCCCTAAACATGGTATTATAGAGACCCCCCTAAACATGGTATTATAGAGACCCCCTAAACATGGCATTATAGAGACCCCCTAAACATGGTATTATAGAGACCCCCCTAAACATGGCATTATAGAGACCCCCTTAAACATGACATTATAGACCCCCCTAAACATGGCATTATAGAGACCCCCTTAAACATGACATTATAGACCCCCTAAACATGGCATTATAGAGACCCCCCCCAAACATGGCATTATTATTCCAATAATAATAATTCATTGTGTCAGGGGGCAGGAAGCCAGGTTATATATATACAGTACCTATTAGGCACATATCCTGGTTTTTATGGTCCACATTCCACTAAATATTGCATTTAAGTCTCACATAAAAATTATAGCAGTACCTTTAACGTGCCCAACCGCATGGGCTGGACGGTAGAGCGACGGTCTCGCTTCATGCAGGTCGGCGTTCAATCCCCCGACCGTCCATAGGTGGTTGGGCACCATTCCTTTCCCCCTTACCCCCCGTGCCATCCCCAATACTTATCCTGACCCCTTCCCAGTGCCATATTGTCGTGATTGGCTTGGCGCTTTCCCCCTAATCAAAACATAATACAATGGTTAAGGGTACAATTGCCTTGTACCCTTAACCATACACTCACAGCCACACACTTCAGCAATACCCACTTGGGCTGGACGGTAGAACGACGGTCTCGCTTCATGCAGGTCGGCGTTCAATCCCCGACCGTCCATAAGTGGTTGGGCACCATTCCTTCCCCCCGTCCCATCCCAAATCCTTATCCTGACCCCTTATCCAGTGCCATATAGTCGTAATGACTTGGCACTTTCCCCCCCTGATAGTTCCCTTCCCTTCCTGCTCACTCAACCCAAAACGTTTAGTAAATTTTTCCATTTCCAGCACAAATTGGATTATTAGAACATAAGAACATAAGAACAAAGGCAACTGCAGAAGGCCTGTTGGCCCATACGAGGCAGCTCCTATTCTATAACCACCCAATCCCACTCATATACTTGTCCAACCCGTGCTTGAAACAATCGAGGGACCCCACCTCCACAATGTTATTGTTAGATCAACAATTTTGTACACTTAAACTACAACCCGAATCTTGGATCATTTCCTACGAGTCCGCTGAAGTTACTCGAGATGCTAAAAAAACTCTGCATCAAAAAGATTTTGATGCATCGAACTGTATTAAAAAGAAAAACAAAATAGTTAAACTTCGATAACGGTGAAATTATCGACTGGACGGTAGAGCGACGGTAGAGCCTCTTGCAGGTCGGAGTTCAATCCCCCGACAGTCCAAGTGGTTAGACACTATTCCTTTCCCCTAGTCCCATCCCAAATCCTTGTCTCATCCCCTCCAAGTGCTATATAGTCGTAATGGCTTAACACTTTCTCCTGATAATGAACAACCTCAAGGTCAATACCCATAACTCAAAGTCACTCGATTTCATTATATTAGTAATTATTTATTACCACAACCCCCCCCCCCCCCCCACCCCTAGGGGGGGGGTTGTACCTAGGACCTATTCGTTACTAAATTCTGGTACGACCTGATTGCTGCTAATTGCCCTAAATTACCCTAACTTTTTTTCTGATTAAATATTCTCATGGGCAGAAATTTTGACAACGTCCGTTAATAGCATAATAATCTATAATATACTATCATACAACGTCTCAAGCAAGATATCAAGTAAGTATTGTGAATATTAGTAATAGTTAGAGTGACTACCGGAATCAGCTTATGGAACTACCGGAATGAGCTTATGGAACCACCGGTTGATACAAGCACGACACACAGCAAGATCACACCAGTATAAGGGGAGGACATGATTTTCAGGACTAGTCCTGAAAATTCTTTTCACTTGAGAATGAACCATGGAGGTTCGAAACGTTGTGCACATTGTATAAATAAGTGTAATACATTCTATAGTAATTCACTTCTTTTCTTCACCTTGAAATTACGAAAATGAGTTTTGGAGAACTCCTCATTCAGCTAAGCCCTGATGCTAAGAAAATAGTTAGAGGGATAGAAGCCCTAAATCAGAAGATAGCAAATACAGAATTTGCGGTCATATTCAATGAGACATGTTTAAAAGAAAACCTGTTGCCAGTATACACCAATATATATATATATATATATATATATATATATATATATATATATATATATATATATATATATATATATATATATATATATATATGTCGTACCTAGTAGCCAGAACGCACTTCTCAGCCTACTATGCAAGGCCCGATTTGCCTAATAAGCCAAGTTTTCATGAATTAATTGTTTTTTTCGACTACCTAACCTACCTAACCTAACCTAACCTAACTTTTTCGGCTACCTAACCAAACCTAACCTATAAAGATAGGTTAGGTTAGGTTAGGTAGGGTTGGTTAGGTTCGGTCATATATCTACGTTAATTTTAACTCCAATAAAAAAAAATTGACCTCATACATAATGAAATGGGTAGCTTTATCATTTCATGAGAAAAAAATGAGAAAAAATATATTAATTCAGGAAAACTTGGCTTATTAGGCAAATCGGGCCTTGAATAGTAGGCTGAGAAGTGAGTTCTGGCTACTAGGTACGACATATATATATATATATATATATAATATATATATATATATATATATATATATATATATATATATATATATATATATATATATCCTACCTCTAATATTAGAAAGAGGAAGTGGGGAAGAGCTCATAAACATGACGGAATAGATGATGGGTTTCCCCTCTCTAGCATCATTAGCCTTCGTCTCATATTGCAGGGAGCTCTGTCAATTGCACCCTCGCTGATGGACACCCCAGTGGCGCATCCCAACTGTTCTACCCAATTAGCTTTACGTGGCCACCGCCGTAACTACCGAACCCCTGGATTATGGGGGGACGCGGTTGGGTGGGCTGGTGAACTGTGCTGAATTAGCTTACAGGGAGTTACAGTTGGCTGGAAAGGACGGGTTTGGGTTGAAGGATCTCGTGAAGCCAAGGAGGGTAATGGAGAAGAATTTGAAGGTTCGAGGTATTGCGAAAGATGAATTATTTGGAGAGCGTGGAAATGGGTAAGTTTATGAAAGGGAGCATTATTTGGAGAGCGTGGAAATGGGTAAGTTTATGGAAGGGAGCATTATTTGGAGAGCGTGGAAATGGGTAAGTTTATGGAAGGGAGCATTATTTGGAGAGCATGGAAATGGGTAAGTTTATGGAAGGGGGAATTATTTGGAGAGCGTGGAAATGGGTAAGTTTATGAAAGGGAGCATTATTTGGAGAGCGTGGAAATGGGTAAGTTTATGGAAGGGAGCATTATTTGGAGAGCATGGAAATGGGTAAGTTTATGGAAGGGGGAATTATTTGGAGAGCATGGAAATGGGTAAGTTTATGAAAGGGAGCATTATTTGGAGAGCATGGAAATGGGTAAGTTTATGGAAGGGGGAATTATTTGGAGAGCGTGGAAATGGGTAAGATTATGGAAGGGGGAATTATTTGGAGAGCATGGAAATGGGTAAGTTTATGGAAGGGGAAATTATTTGGAGAGCGTGGAAATGGGTAAGTTTATGGAAGGGGAATTATTTGGAGAGCATGGAAATGGGTAAGTTTATGAAAGGGAGCATTATTTGGAGAGCATGGAAATGGGTAAGTTTATGGAAGGGGGAATTATTTGGAGAGCGTGGAAATGGGTAAGTTTATGGAAGGGGGAATTATTTGGAGAGCATGGAAATGGGTAAGTTTATGGAAGGGGAATTATTTGGAGAGTATGGAAATGGGTAAAACGCAGACGATGAGTCACAATAACGTGGCTGAAGTATGTTGACCAGACCACACACTAGAAGGTGAAGGGACGACGACGACGACGTTTCGGTCCGTCCTGGACCATTCTCAAGTCGATTGTGATCGTTTCTCAAGACCGAAACGTCGTCGTCCCTTCACCTTCTAGTGTGTTGTCTGTTCAAAATGGGTGAGATTGAAGGAAGGGGACACTGAGAGGGACGAGACTGGATAGAAAATGCCACATAGAGCCGAACCGATTGGGGAACGGACATGAGGCGGATAGGAATGTTTATTTTGTTTATAAGAAAGATGTGTGTGTGTGTGTTGACCTTACGAGACGACAAGAGGGAGAGATGAGTGCTATTGAGTCAATAGTGAAGGAAAATGGAAAAAGAAAGAGGGAAAACGAGGGAAATGAATGAAAAGAAGGAAGGAAAATGAGGGGAAAGAACTAATAGTACAAAGATAAAAAATATGAAGCTAGAGTAAGGGATGCCAGGTTCCACCTCGCTCTCCCTAGCAGTGTTCTTCTACATTGAGGTTACCTTGAGGTGCTTCCGGGGCTTAGTGTCCCCGCGGCCCGGTCGTTGACCAGGCCTCCTGGTTGCTGGACTGCTGCGGTTGCTTCTACAGTCAAAATGTTGTATAAAAGTTGAAACAGTTTATCACAAGCGCTATTTGTTACCCCCCCCCCCCTTTCTTCCATCAGCCTCCGTAACGTAAGACCTTAAACAACGTCGGAAAGACGTCATTAAACGAGCATTATGTAGATGGAAAATAACCTCTATGATCACGAGCATTTAGACGCAGACAAAAAAATGAATTATCAGGAAATTTTTCACCTTAATAGAGCTCTACAAAGACTAAATTTCATCTACAAAAAAAATCAAACTTTATGAAATTGAACCCGATAAAGTGAAATGAAAAATTATCTAAAATCTATCTTATATAAGGAGCGCCCCCCCTACCTCTAAATAGTAACTAGGACCTTTCTAAATAGTACCTAGGACCTCTCTAAATAGTACCTAGGACCTCTCTAAATAGTACCTAGGACCTATTCGTTACTAAATTCTGGTACGACCTGATTGCTGCTAATTGTCCTTCATTGCTCTAAAATGTTTTTTCGGGTTAAATATTCCCAAGGGCAGGAATTTTGACGACGCCCCCTAATAGTATAATAATCTATAATATACTATCATATAACGTCCCAAGCCGAGAGATATACTATGTGGCTTAGGGTATAGTAAAGACCGGGGTTCATGTGGTGGGGTATACTGTATGTGGTATATCACACGGCTGCCAGCACTGGAGCACAGTATACTATACTGATTATATTATATATATATATATATATATATATATATATATATATATATATATATATATATATATATATATATATCGTATATATATATATATATATATATATATATATATATATATATATATATATATATATATATATATATATATATATATATATATACCGATTATATTAGACGATAACATGGATTATTTTGGCAGTAGATGGCGGGATGAATTGAGTTGGCAGTAGATGATGCCTAAGGTATGGTAAACTAAGTGATGACATTCAACACACAAAATAGCTTCTCTTGGATAAATATCAGAATTTATATTATATAAACAGCAAGGTGATGACTGGCTGAGTGGGGGCGTCCAGACTTACCTTAACTATAATTGAAATTGAAATTAAGTTTATTGAGGTAAAATACACACAAAGGGATGAGGTAGCTCAAGCTATTCTCACCCCGTTCAGTACATCGTGTTAATACATACATAGACACACATCACAAACAATAAACATATTACCAAACATTCTGAGAGATAAACATCTACATTTCCTCATTTACACAAGTAACCTTAACTATATAGTCATCACTGAGACTCGTTCCCTCCGTGACCAAATCCATGGCAATTATGACGTCACGACTACTGTAATTAGTGAAGGCATCCTAATAATTGAACATCCTAATAATTGAACATCCTAATAATTGAACATCCTAATATATGTAACCAAGAAGGATGAGGGGTAGAGTTGGATACCCACATGGGCTTATAGGTCTTCTGCAGGTTCCTTGCTTCCTAGGTTCTTACGGTGGCTGGGAGAGTATGCTAGATGTTCTGTGCAGACGAGGAGTCACAATAACGTGGCTGAAGTATGTTGACCAGACCACACACTAGAAGGTGAAGGGACGACGACGACGTTTCGGTCCGTCCTGGACCATTCTCAAGTCGATTGTGGTCCAGGACAGAACATCCAGTCGATCAGACAATCGACTGGATGTTCTAGTTTGATCTTTAAGATGGTAGAAAGTACACGAAGGTGAAGTGACTGTTTATAGCTGCTTGAGCTTGTTTGATATGTAGCGCTTAGGTGATGTCTAATCATGTCTACTCAATGTCTAATTTAATTGTCGTCAAATCTGTTGATTATTTTGGTGCTGGTGGTTAAGATACTTTTTGGTCAGGTTGCATGTAGAAATTATATTCTTTGATGGGTATAAATTGGATAAGTTTAGATTGAGAAAAGACTTGGGTAAATACTGGTTCAGTAACAGGGTTGTTGATTTGTGGAACCAATTGCCGCGTAACGTGGTGGAGGTGGGGTCCCTCTATGGTTTCAAGCGTGGGTTGGACAAGTATATGAGTGGGATTGGGTGGTTATAGATAGGAGCTGCCTCGTATGGACTAATAGGCCTTCTGCAGTTGCCTTTGTTCTTATGTTCCTATGTTCTTATGAGAGAACATGACCAAACAACACCGAATTAATTGACAGATACAACGACAATAGAAGATTATACATCGCCGAAGCACTTCACATCAAACACTCTCACCCAACAATTAACAACCATCCCTGGAAACACAAACCGAAACTGTCTCTATTTTCCGCTTGTTACAACTTTATTACAAGTTGTTCCATCTTGGCTTAACGTGTTTATGACGTATTAGAACGTTGTTACAACTTGCTATATTGGTTGTTATAACTGGTTAGGAGGTGTTAAAACTTGTTCGAACGTTGTACCAACGTCGTAGTCTCGGTGTGTGTGTGTTTGGCGGGATATTACACACAGGTACGTTGAGGTTACCTTGAGGTTACCTTGAGGTGCTTCCGGGGCTTAGCGTCCCCGCGGCCCGGTCGTCGACCAGGCCTCCTGGTTGCCGGACTGATCAACCAGGCTGTTGGACGCGGCTGCTCGCAGCCTGACGTATGAGTCACAGCCTGGTTGATCAGGTATCAACCTAGCATCGTCAAGGCCAAGACAGAATAACACAAAGATGAACATTATTGGTGCTTAAGCTGCGTTATATCCAGAACACAGAAACTTGCAGAACACAGAAACTTGCAGAACACAGAGAGGCAACAGAACATCGGCGTCGAAAACTGTACATCGACAGAGCACAGACTCGGCCAGGTGCAGAGACGCCGATGGAACAGACACGCCGATGGAACAGACACGCCGATGGAACAGACACGCCGATGGAACAGAGACGCCGATGGAACAGAGACGCCGATGGAACAGAGACGCCAGGGAGGAACAAACAAGTGGAGGGTGCCCCAGAAGTAAGCCTAACTGAGGACTGGGCAGACTGAGTAGCCCCGGGGGATTGGGGGGGGGGGGGGATTGGGGGTGGGGATTGGGGGGCTCGTCGCTCACTATCAAGACATTATGGCAGGCAGACTCTTCGCCACTATCAAACCGTGAACTGCACTTACCTCTTGGCTCGTTCCGCCGCGGAGGAAGGGGAGCTGGAGTAGGAAGAGGGAGGAGGAGGAAGAGGAGGAGGAGGAAGAAGAGGGGGGATGGAGTGGGGGGGGGGGGAGGAGCAGGAGAAGTAGGAGACACAGGAGGGGGGGGGGGACATAAGTGAAGATTTGCTAATCATCATTGACTGTTCACCCTCATTATAGTTTGCGCCTCTCTGTTTCTCTTGGTTTAATAGCCCCCGTTATCAAGCGTTGGTTCGTTATCAGCCATCAGTTCGTTATCAAGCATCAAATCAGTCCGTTAAACCGAAGATATCATAATATTGCAGGGAATATATCAAGTATTTTTTTTTATTTCAAAGAACTTACAAAGAACACAAACCCAACCTAAACTATGCCTATATATGCACAATATGCTAATATATAATAATATTAATTCATATTTGAGAAAATTCCTCTTTTGAATGAACAGCAATTTATGAATGCTTCCATGGGGTCGACCGCTGGATGGAATGGACTTGAGCCGAGAACGGGTTGTTCAGCACGTCACAATTGTAGGGTTTAAGCCACGTTAAAAATAAATGTTTGGGGGGGGGGGGGGGGCAGGTGAACCTCCTTCAGGGGTTCCGCTAAACTTTTTCAACAGTTCCCCCGAAGAGTCTCAGGGCTTCCTGCAGAAGTACATCGCGAGTAGAAAATAATATAGATTGAGAGTTCCTCGACACTTGAAGAAAGATTTCAGAGGTTTCGGGGGCATTCTAAAGCTGCTGGGAATGGCTGGAAAATGAGATATCTTAAAAGAGGAAGAGGTTACGAAGACAGGTGAACAGGTGGAAAAGGCACAGGTGGAGGAGCTTGTAGGAGAGGTGAGACAGGAGAAAGAATATCAAATAGGAAAAAAGCGCAATAGGAGAATAATAGGCGAATGAGGAGCAGGCAAATGACTAGATATATATATATATATATATATATATATATATATATATATATATATATATATATATATATATATATATATATATATATATATATATATATATAAACAAATGACTAGATCTACAGCTATATTATTGCCTCGTTGTATGCAACATCAGGCAACGATTAAAGTCACTTCAAAGTGCCACACAAAGATCACTAAGCTAAGATGACCTTCAGCTCACGTCAAGGTCACCAGTGACCACTAATCTAAATTAAAAGAAGCAAAAATTCATGGTACTGCGGTTGTAAAACTCTCAAAATGATAATTTGAAACATTAATTTTAAATTCATTGCCTCAGTAATTCATGAGCGTTGTGCTGTACTAAACGGATTGGATTCTTGACTACACAGGAGGGTACAGGAGCAGACGACATTGGACTCCTGCTAATAGGCTGGCAACCTTCTCTTCCCATAGCTTTCCCCTGGAACACGATCCACCGATCAATTTACATCCCAATCACTTAGTTCCAATCACTGCTGGGGTGAACAGGTAGGGAAGAGTTAAAGAGTGACGCCCGGACAAATTCTCCCTGCGCCAGGGCTCGAACCCAGACCAAATTGCTTGATTATCATCAGTGTTCGTGTAGAGAACGTGGTCCATGTAGCGGACATTAGCAGTCGCATGATGTCTGGGTAATAAGGAATCTTGTTGTGGTTTCAAGTTTATGTTGGTCGTAATTTTTGGTGGTGGAGTGTTTGTCCTGCTGCACTTGTCTGTAGCTTTCCTGCGGTGTGAGTTCTGACCATATGCATATAGTGAACACCCTCATTAATATACATGTATGCAAATGCACATTTAAACACTGACAGTCATATATTAAGATACATAAATACACATGTGCTTAGTTACTCGTACACACACACTCACACACACACACACGATTATATGTACAATGAAACTGTTACATATATTGAAGACACATACACATGCTGTCATGTACTCAAATGTTCATGCATACTCACATACACATGTGCAAACTCAAGCCATACACATGTACAAACCCAAGCCATACACATGCACAGACCCAAGCCATACACATGCACAGACCCAAGCCATACACATGCACAAACCCAAGCCATACACATGTACAAACCCAAGCCATACACATGCACAAACCCAAGCCATACACATGCACAAACCCAAGCCATACACATGTACAAACCCAAGCCATACACATGCACAAACTCAAACAACCATTCATACCTGGACATATACATAAGCTTGCAAGAGTTAAAAACAATTAAAATTATAAGTTTTATCCATTTTTGTAGGTTTTTAAAACCCTTCCAATGAGGGTTTTGAGCCTGATCATCACCATCACTCATATGACCTAGAAAACCTAATGAGCATTATTCAAATGAAAACAATTAATGGAAATCCCGTATTCATACTTCTAATGAATGAATACACACACACACACACACACACACACACACACACACACACACACACACACACACACACACACACACACAGTAGATAGAGCTCAGTAGGCTCAGGAATCTGTACACCAGTTGATTGACGGTTGAGAGGCGGGATCAAAGAGCCAAAGCTCAACCCCCGCAAGGACAAATAGGTTAATACAACTAGGTGAATACACACACACACAAACCATATTAATATACAGGACTCGCATTTGTATCCAAACTCACACACACACACACACACACACACACACACACACACACACACACACACACATCTATACACAAACACACACATACAAGTGCACTTAAACAAGCACGTGCACACACACACATATACTCAGACACATATACAAACGTACACTCACGTTCATAATTATTTACAGATAATGAAGAAATTCAAGTGATTTATACCCTACAAGATACAACAAGACATAACAATGAGCTGCCAACCCTTTTGTAATTCCAGAAGACACCAACTTCACAATGACAAGAGCACAAGACATCTTGTGTCATGACTTAACCCATCAGCTGTCGTTGCTTGAGACATCTGTCATGACTTAACCCATCAGCTGTCGTTGCTTGAGACATCTGTCATGACTTAACCCATCAGCTGTCGTTGCTTGAGACATCTGTCATGACTTAACCCATCAGCTGTCGTTGTTCGAGACATCTGTCATGACTTACCAGCTGTTATTGAAGGCTGAGGCAATTACGGCTGCTGATTATCACATGTAATTACAGAGGCTGTTATGATGTTATTATTAGTAATAATATTTTGTTGTCGATAATTTCAAACGTCTTGCTTTTTTTTTTGCATGTCAGTAATTTGTTTTGCAGATTAGAGATAAAGGACAGTATAGTCTTAGATAGGAAAGAAGAGTGGTTGGTAGCTGTCCATCTCCTGTCTGTTCCCTTGTACCCCTCCTGTCCGGTTCCCTCTGTTGGTATTCCTGTCTATTTCCCTTTTAACCCCTCTGTCTCTCCCCTGACCGTGTCAACCGTCTTTTTCCCTGTTATTCCTCTTGTCCCCTCGCATGCCCATCATCCAGTCTTTTCCTTGTTTCTCTACGGTCAATTTCCTGTACATTCTCTGTCTCACTCCTGCTCATTCCCTGTTCATTGCCTGTCCCTTCCTTTCTGTTTTTCAACCCCTATCTATGCGTGTTTGTGTTTCCTGTCCACATATCACCCGTTTCATTCCTCCACGTCCTGTGACCGTCTATTCCATCCTTCTTCACTCTTACTGTCAGCCCTCTCTAGGCGTCCCCTTCTTTTACTGTCTTTTCCTTCCCATTATGCAACTGCCTATTTCCTTTCCTGTCCGCCATCTTTGCTTCCCTCCTCTACACCCCATATCTCCATCCCACTACCTGGATTTTTGTTTCCCTTTCTTTCTCTCTCTCTCTCTCTCTCTCTCTCTGCGTGTCTCTCTCTCTCCTCTCTCTCTCTCTCTCTCCCTCCTCTCGTCTCTCTCCTCTCTCTCTCTCTCCTCGCTCTCTCTCTCTCTCTCTCTCTCTCTCTCTCTCTCCCATAACCTCCTCGGCCCCAGTTCCTCATGCTCTGCCCTTCCTCAACTTCTCTCCCTTTCTCTCTACCAATCCCCTCATCCGCCCCCCCCCTCTTCCTCCCCCCCTTCTCCTCCTCCCCCCCCCACTCCCCCCGATCCCATCATTACACCGAGGAGACCATCAAAGTGTTCCGCCAGCTAGAAATGAGCCTCCGGGCCTCTCGAAGGCTAACCAATGAGCTGAGTACTATCTGTTTATTTTCTAACAAATCAAACTTGACACATCC